GTCATATATATATATATATATATATATGTATGAAGATGGTACACCATAGATGAAACAAAACCAACCCAGTCATTCGTCATATTTGAATTCACGAACCGGCCAATTTTCTAAGAAGAAGAATGACATGCAGTTCAAGGCTATCCGAGCTGGAACAATGTAAACTAGTCGCCTACAATGAGCACCGAAATTCTGAACAATACCGGAACAATTGCTCAGTCATCCAGGGCTGACCCACATCAATGTAACTCCGAGAATAAACGCTTAATTCGAAAAGGAGATCTCGGATAAACGCACGAGACAACTCTAAGTGCTACTTCAACTCAGGTAAGAGGCCCGTCGAAGGTGCGCGATCGTTACACTTGGATTTAGGTATACGACGTAAACAGTAACTGTTGTAAACGGCACCAAAGAGCATTGAGCTAAAGTCACTGCCTGGGATAAAAGGTCGTCATGTAGGTGATCGAAATGCGTGGATTAGAGGTCATAGTAACTGGAATTCTGAATATAACGGTGTGATATTCGGCGAATACAGGCATAAACTTGAACTTCTTAAGCTATTGGTGTACCACTGGCATGATCTACTTAAGAGTGAGAGAACCTTCGAACATCTGACATACGACAGAGCTGTATCATGGTCAGGGGTGCCATGTTTGCAAATGAAAAAGTATCCGTTGAAAATTCTTAAAGGAAGCCGTGCAGCTGAATCGTACTTCGTAACCTTGAACGAATTCCTCCTCTCCACCATTCCCCAAAATCGACTGAAACGATGAATTTTCGACATAGTAATTTCTCTGTACCAAGAGTTCATCTCGTTCAAATATGGATGTAGTATAGATAAATCAAGACAATGAACTACTCAGCCCATAGCTCGGGGTTACACCCAATGGAAATGTCTGGTGTATGTTTGCGAGGCTCATTCATGGGTATGAATCCCCAGTCCATGATTCTCGTGAATCGAAGACAGCTTTTCTCATGAATCGAACGTAATCAAGGTTTAGATAATCTTTAACCTGATTAGAGGTATTCTTCGGCATTCCGTTTCAATCTTGAATAAAAAAGGTCGACGTGTTTTGTAACCACTTGGATAGTTTCATCATTTTCCTGGGGCGGGGTTAAAAGCACATATGACATTCAGTGGCACATTTTCTAGGATAATGCGATTTGGTGAAGTCATCATCAAGATCCGTTTGATTTACCCAGACGGTAATGAGTTGCCTGATTAGCATAACACGCTTAAGCAATCTGTGTGGGTTGAATGCCAAGAAATTAACAAACGCATGTTCCGTTTGCACCTCGATCCACGATGTCTTTCTTCCTCTTGTCCCAATCAGCATGCTCCACCATCGTTTAGGCAACATACCAACAACTGGATTACAGGTTAGGTAAAGTATGTACTTTATGCACCCCGAAAGATGAATATGCGGAGCTTGTACTTCTGTAGCTCGGGCTATTTTCGGTCCTAAGAGGCTGAAAGCTGCAGACATGGGATAACTGCAAATGCATTCTGCTTGAATCACATAACCAATCAGAGCTTTTAAAAAATGTCTTTGTACTTCCTCTTTTATTTATTGAAGATGCAAATGTACAGTCAACATTCAAGAAGGGGGTCGCGGCTACACAAAGGTTGACTGGGAAGACAGGCGGTGGTGGAACTGTTCGAACCCGGGACTCACAGGTCACAAGACGGTGCCACACTTGTGTTATACGTTAATACACCATACACGGATCACGAGAGTACGATCCATTGATGAGGGCAGATGGTATAGCAGTTTTGCGCGCCCCAGCCGGGACCTATCAGAAAGCCATTCCATCAAACCTGTTGCATTCAAAAATTGACATCATAACCAAATAAATCGAAAAATGTACGATATATTCGTGGAACATCACGTGCGTGGTGCAGGTTACCCTTATACTTTTAGTCCCTTTATTCTTACATACGGAATACTCTGTAACATTTTGATCCCTCAGATGAGGTCAACTATTTTGATGGACTATTAATTCAACTCTTCTCCGTCATCTCCTCCTTCTGTAGACATGTTCTGTAACTGATCCACCGGTAAATGACAATCAAAGTTCGTTCGTTTTATCGATTTTCATATTGCTATATTTCGAAATTTCCGAAAAAAACTAAACTAAACTATGATATTAAGTTTCATCTCGTACCTATGAGCGTGCGATCTGCATCACAGACGACGATGCTAGTGGGTGGGAAGTGATACAGTACGGATTAGGTGAGTCTTGTATACCTTGTATATTACCCTAATCGGACGAAAAATAGTCTCATTTCAAAATCCAAAGTTCATATGGATTTAGATGTTATCTGGCTCGTTGAACTTTGGACAGTTTTCAGTACAAGTAACTGATCCATTTATATCAAATCCCTATAAAACAGTTGGATTTAGAAATGTGATTGAGTTGCACGATGAGAGGGCAGTTTGTGGTATTGCTGTGCCTGGTGCTATCAATATGCACTGCCACACCATACTCGAGTGATTTTGTTGTGGGGACTGGAGAGATAAAGGTGAATCGTCATGCCAAAGTAAGTCGCTTCTATGCCTGTCAGATGCGTTGGTATCTTCTTGTTGTTCCTTGTGCAGAGAGAATATAAATGCTGTCAGCCAGTTTGGATCATTTAATGATTTGATGAATTTAAGTTGAGGTGAAAAAAATCCCGTAATTTTGAGTCTGTTTATTCACAATACACTTGAAGCACCAATGAAATTGTAATACGTGTATCGCTCTTCCCTTGCGATTTGTTTTTGCATGCCCGGAATGTATGAACGTTATCTTACAATATGTTAGAGTACCAAGCTTGGATTAGCTCATTCGATTGAGCCATTCGCACAGGGTGATTGATGACCGCCGACCGTGTAGCTCAGAGATAAGGATTTGAATTTCCAACCCGAAAGTTCGCGGTTCGGGTCCTGACAGGAACATAAACTGCTGATGAGTCCCAAACAGGACGAAACAGTGCCCAGTGCTCTTTTTCAGTTATTACAAACATTTGCATCGCATGTAAATTATCTTACAGTAGTTTTTATTCTTAGCACATGTTGAATCGATTTTATTTGAGTAGCTTCAATCGTGTCACATAAAGCGAAACCTGAATACTCCACACACACACACACACACACACACACACACATACACACACAACCACACATACACTGATATCCGAAGAGATTACTATTTAGTAGTAATAGTAATACCTTATTTGGTTGGAAAGTCAAATGTGGGATTTATTTTTCGAATCTTGGGTCGGACACAGTGAAACGAGACGGTTGTGTCCCGGTGGAGGGGTTTCCAAATCTAAATTCGAGGAGGCGTGATGGAATTAAAAAATATTTTATCATCACCACAAATAGGTTCAGGTATGTTTAAATAAATATTTTCAATTTCTATTTTTCACAACGAAGATTATGGACTTTTTCGAAAGAAGGGAATGAAAAAATAAGAGAATTTAGAAGTTATTTAGCTTGATCTGATCAAATAATGAAAATCGTCCAAGTAACCAATGTTTTAAATTGGAACAAGGAGATTTTGGAATACCTGTTTACTAATTTTAAACATTATTTATTCATATTTTCCAAAATAAATTTGTGGTCATCTGTGTACTTTCAGGGGAAGATGGCATGTGAGATAATTTCAGTTGGTATATAACGCTTACACCCGATTGCTATTTCACATTGGACGGGTTCGAAAAATTGATCGGATGCTGCGAGATGGAACAATTATTTGTAGCTTCATAGAAATCGGGCCAATTTTGAAAATGATCCAGGCAATGCACAGAGAAACTAGAGTTTACTATAAATCTATGAGTAGCTGCGAGCCGAATGATTCGAAACACGATTGACAATTTAAAGTATCAAGATTGGATTAGCTAATGAGTCCCAAAGAGATCGAAACTGCTATCCAGTGCTCTCTGTCGGTTATCATAGGATTGATAGTGTATCAACAGGTTATACGTATCAGGGAATGTATGGAAAGTTCTCCATACACGTTTCGTCCGAGGTAAAAATCATCATAATTGCATGAATGTCAAAATTGTGCATCTATGTATGTCTGTATGGTACCCACAAAAGTTCTCCAAATCACATTGCTGGTTGGAATAGTCACAACTTTTTCGAGAGGTAATGAATTCGTTAAACAATTAAAAAAGTGATGCGCACGGAATTTTTATCGTGTTTACGCTGCAGTACGGTTCTTTTTTTCATTCTTCAATCGGTCCTAATTGCGTTCGTAAACTTCGAACAACTATTATTTTCTTTTTATAAATAAGTTTTCCCCTTTCGCTTCTACTCAATAGGTATTATCTCCTTATTAATAATGTTATCGTTCTCAACTTCTTCAAGATCACATGTACTCGTGAACGGGTCTGGATTTGACGAACATTTAAACACTTTCTTTTCTTTCTTTTTCATTGTACCTCCGTTTCATTGACGATACAAAGATACAGTTTTCAGGACGAGAGATAGATGGACAGTACACTATTTCTGGTCCCAAACTATAAGCGTATCTACCGAACTATTTCGGTTTGAAATGGTATTCCACGATAGGTTCTCAAAAGACCAATGTATTAGGTGAACTGCATTGAACTGATCAGCGTTATTATGTGTCTACTTCCTTGATAAAGCAGTAAAAAAGGAAGAGGATTTCTACCAGTAGCAGAAGACATGAAATTACATGTGATGCTAACTAAGGTAAAATGATTTGTGCCCATAACTTATGGTTCAAAACAGTAGGGAGGAAACTAGCTATGAAAGACTGAACAAATGAGACGCGAGTGTGAAACAAAATGAAATGTTGGATTAGTCCAGCTCAGACGGTCTTCATCCTCTCTACTCAGTTATCGTAGGGAGGAGTGCAGGTAATGTCTCTGTATGTGTTTGCTAAAATCAACCCGGGATATTCTCATTTGAGTTAGGCTAACACGTTTCCGCTCCATACCTATCATTCATTGAGCATTGATCCATCCTCATTTAGAATGAATTTATTCTGTAATGAATAGATCTGTATCTCTAAATATATTCCAACCCCCAAATCAGACGGGAGCCAAATGGTTCGGAAAAATATTGCAAGCTAACGATGAATACCACTTAAAGCAGTTCAAGGCTCGCTTGGGTACACGCTGGGAAGGCGTGGAACGACGAAAATCTGCTCGACCGACCATACGACACGAAGTGTCTGACGACGATCTACCGAGTTCTTTTGATTCGCGCGAAGTATGGTCATACTGTCCCACAATAAATCAAATTCGTGACCAGTCCAGTTGTGGATCATGTTGGGTATGTTGACCAGACGATGGCGTGGTATCATAACTAATAGTATCTTCATCGCCATCATTAGTTCTGAAAAATACCAGTAATGACCGCATTTACTTTCTCCGCTATACCTTAAAGGATTTTGTATTGATCGATAGTTGATTATATTTTACTGGCCCCTTTAATTAGTAAGACATGGTCTTAAAGTACAGTTTAGATATTTTTGAAATGGTGCTTGAGCATAATAGATCATTGCTCCATATTTGCTTGTTCCAGGCTTTTGGAGCGGCTGAAGCGATCAGTGATCGTATTTGCATTCATTCATGCGCGTTTGTGCAAGTGGAAATTAGCGCGCTAGACCTCCTAGCTTGTTGCAGTGATTGCGGTGACGGATGTTACGGTGGATGGCCCGGTCTGGCATGGGACCACTGGAAAAACAACGGTCTGGTTTCTGGTGGTTCGAAAGAAAATCCAAATGGATGCCGAAACTATCCGTTTCCCTCTTGTAAACATCGTGGTAAGGGTGATAAAAAACCTTGTCCATCGGAATTATACCGAACACCGCAATGCGAATCTGAATGTGACACGGGTTATAACGGAACATATTTCGATGACCTTCATTACGGTAAGATCGATTCGATACCATATTGCTATCCCTTCACAGAATCAACCCATTCTCTCTACCAAAATATCAGCTATGACGAGGTCGAATCCGATACTAATATCCTCTAGCCAGCGGTGAACAAAACACTCAGAAAGGAAACAGTTTAGGGGCTGAGAAATGAGTGATTTCATGTGAGATGCTTGTAGAAGTTTACACATAACCTGTTGAAGAATTGCCTCTGCTTAAATTATTGTGTTCTGTCACTTTTGAAAGATAGAGAGAGTCGTTCACTCATAAGCAAGCGTAAAATATCAGTTTTACTGGGGCTTTGACCTTCAGGATGATGGATTACGTATTATCTAGTCACTGATGTCATCTATATTCCCCCATTTACCCCGGCATCCTTTGCACAGGTTATAGTTCGTACAATGTGCCCTCTGATGAGAAGCAGATTATGGCTGAAATCATGCTCAACGGACCTGTAGAAGCGTCTTTCGAAGTATATGAGGATTTCAGAACATACGACCACGGTATCTATTTTCATAGCTGGGGTAAATCTGTTGGTGGTCACGCAATCAAAATGATCGGCTGGGGTGAGGAAAATGGTGTACCCTACTGGATCCTGGCCAACTCGTGGAATGAGCAGTGGGGTGAGAAAGGATTTTTCCGCATCCTTCGTGGGAACAATGAGTGTGGAATTGAGTCCGAAGTGGNTATACCTAAAGAAAACATGAAATCCAACCATGGCTGCTGAGTGCAACAAAACGATGAAGAATAATTTCAAGAATTTGTCGGACTGTTGAGACAGAAACATTTGTGTTTCGGCAGCTGCTTTCTCAAATACGGATTTGATGATTTCATGTTGATTATTGAATTTTGTTTGGATTTCAAAAAATGTTCACCATATTGTTTTTTTCTTTTGGATATTTATATCCCCGCGTTCATCCGTATTGTTACCGAGAGCCATCATACATTTTATAGTGACTTGAACATCAGTCTCGACTGGTTAAACCTGTATGAACCAAGAGTTTCCGGTTGATACGGTCAACAACACACGTTTTTATTGCATGTGATGAAAAATCTCACGTTTGTATTTCACCTTTAGTCTATTCTTCTGACAGGTGACTAACGCGCAACATTCAGTGCAAATGTGACAATGATTTAGCCGTAACGATTCCTACAAAGCATTGGCCCGTTTTCAGCTTTAGGAATTTGGTTAATAGCACCAACCTGCGCCGGTTTCTCGTGTTTACCACCAGACCCTGATTTCACCCAATCTAATTGCTGGCAGTTGGTTGGCAGCCTCAGTCGGACATTGAACCCGACAAAAGTGGTAAAATGTTACAACAATTATGCTAAAACTTTATTCACTTTTCAAACAAACAGATTACTGGAAACGATTTCATCATGAGACCGGAAATCGGATTCACCATGATCACATATTTGTTTCTCGACTCATCCGATCATCCAGATTACTCGTGGTAGGGTATGTGTTGGGTGGGCCAGGGAAGCTTTAGCGGTGACACATTGTTTTTGGGCACACAGAGTGGGGTTGTGCAGAAGAAAGCCCACCGCTTCTGCTGTACCCAGCATCCGACAGCAAACCTGCCTCGATAATCGATCACAAACTTCATACAAGGGTCCGAAATCTTCGGACACGTTCACAGTGTGATTTGTTTCGGCTAGGTATGAAACTACTACACTGGAGAGTGCTAAGCCCCGCAGGGTGGTGTTCATGAATTCGTTCCGACAATCGCTTTACCTTGCGGTCTATGTACGTTGTTCCACATGAACAAGTAAATGAGTATACACAGAATGAGACAGCAGGGTCTGGAACTTTATCCTTCAGTTGCAAACACACAATTGGCTTAGACGTGAATAATATACGAAGCTTAGACGCATAGAAACTCTTACTGATTGAACCAGATAATCTTCTTTGTGTGATCTCAGCTGATGTGCCCCCTTTGAATGGCAAAGAAATGTACATGAAATTTCTCTTATCCTCGTGAGCGATTGTCGATGTAGGTTTGCTGCCGGATGTTGGCTACAGCAGAAGCGGTGGGCTTTCGTCTGCCCAACCCCACTCTGTATGCTCAAAACAATTTGTGCAAGCTCTAAAACTTCCCCGGCCCACCCTACATACACCCTACCACGAGTAATATCGATGATCTGATGAGTGGATAAACAAATATGTGATCGTTGTGAACCCGATTTCCGGTCTCCTGATAAAACCACTTCTATTAATCTGGGATTTTATTTTATTTGAGTTTCTCAAGACAATTTTATTTCCAACTAATGATGTATATTGAGATATATTGGCATGGATACGAATCTCCGAAAACGTGCTTGTTCACCACTCTATCTACTTTCTTGAAATCTATTTTCAATACCGTTTTCAAGATACAATATATAGTGAATATGATGTCAGTCATCAACATCGACGGGATTTCTGAAGATCTTCTGTGGCATGTGACGTTAATGTGTTCCCATAATTATTTTGACCATTTCGAATGCCCCTTAGCGGAGAACCCAGTCCACTTCTTGTGCGAGAAGCCGGGAGGCCGATGGGGATTTTGGGCTTTGAGCATTTAACCCTTAGGTTCACTGTCGAAATCATACAAAACCATAAAAGGTGTCACCGATTGATTGCCTCAACAGTACTGACCAAATAACTTTCGAATTCAGTTTGGAGCCAACGACCGTTGTATGCTATCAGTTTATGGTTATCGATACTGTGCGCACTCGGGAGCATCTTTTCAATGCACACAAAAGGTCGTTAAGTTATTTATTGGTGCAAAGCTGATCATTGCCACACTTAACCCCGGTCGCGAATGATCAACAGACGTGTTCGAGGACGTGTCTGGTTTCATCTGACAAGCGATGATTTCCCCAGTAATTCACAATTACCCAAAGAAATCAGCCCCACCTATGTGAATCTGGCTCGTCACAAATAAAACCATCCTCATCATGTTTTTGCATTTACTGTGTAACAGCTAGAGATATGTCCTCCCAAGATTCCTTGCAGATTCCCAATCTCGTAGACATCCTATCCTCACTTTGGAGAAACTTACCGTACATAAACAAATAAAAATCATGGATAAAAACAGAAAACATTTTAGCATTAAATAGATCTCACATAAATATCGTTTCTGATAATCATTGTTTTATTCAAAACCAAAGTACTGGTAGGCATGATCATATGAAGAACATTAGGATCATCGAGCCTTCATAATTAACAGCAGCGCAGGAAAATGGAAACTGATGTTTCGCATGAACAAATTATTCCAAATGTCCGGCTATAATTAAATAGCCGATTGATTGACTGAATATTTGGTCGATTGAGTAGTTGATTGGTCGACTGGCTGATTGGTTGATTGATTGATACGGTTTTCAAGCCAGAATCCACCTTGACGAATAAAAAGGGGAGGTAAGTTCTGCAAAGTTGTAGCATTTCATCTACGCACACATATTTGAGGACATATACAAGGTTCTTATACTTCAAATCCGATGATATCATTTATGACAGAAACACGGGATACCAGTGGGGGTTTCAGTCAAATTCAAATTCAAATTTTTATTATGGGATATAACTTACAAAGACTTCGCTTTTT